GAGATAGATATTCCCAATAACACATCCAGACTAGAGATCCCCATTAGCCAGCCCTTATTAATCACCGAGGCCCCATCATTAACAGATTCCCCCATGATAAATGCCCAAATACAGATCCCATGTTACCCAGAAAGATTTCTTGAGTGTAGCTCCTTCAGGCTAGTCCCTATCCTCAACCACTCAGAGCAGGACTCCCAATAATAGATTTCCACATCACTCCAAATGGTGACCTTCTCCACATAATGCTCCACAGCAGAACATTCCTCAGTCACTCATCCCAGAGCTCTCCCCCATTAAAAAAGAACCCATCAAATCCCCTTGAAATAAACACAGGTCTGACTAGTCACAACGCCTCCAGAGCTGCAGTTACAGACCTTTATGTCCCTATGCTACATTTAACATCAGTCCCCTCAAGATGGGATTCCCCATAGTTACCCCAAAACCCTTATACTGCAATCAGAGACTGCCCCCTCCATTTACAAAGACTCCTGCTCTTACCCCTGAAGAAGACACACATTAACCAGGCCACTGACACCTCCAATTTACAGATACCAAAATAGACCTGGAAGTACTAATACAGGACCCCCAAGTGTTCCTATCCACTGCACCCTCAAGAATCCCCCAGTGCCTTGTATGAAGCCCACCCAATATGGCCCACAGCCCCTCTGCTGGCCAGATTTCCAGAAAATTCTCTATTTTTAAAGTGATGACTTTCCCTTTTGGGGGAACCCAAAATTTGGAGCCCCCATGTTGAGACTGGGGATCCCAAACTCCCATGTGCCCCCAAGTCCTACAGCCTCTAGAACACCCCAAAGCCCTAATTTCCAGGACCCCCAAGCCATGGGATCCCCAAATTCCCAGGGAGTCCTAAATGTAAAAACCCAATCCCAAGCCCCCAGGAAACCCCAATCATGGACGTCCTTGTGCCTGGAATGGAGGAGACTGTAGTCAGGTCATGCATCCCAGGCTACCATGGCATCTTAAGCCCTATTCATAGGTACCAGGAGACCCCAAACAGTTATGCTCATCCCTGAAAACTAGAGGACTTCAATGCCCTGAGTCATGGATCTCAAGACGCCAAATTCCAAGAGTCCCAGCTCCCAAAGAACCCCAAATCCTAAAGCCTCCATCTCATACATGAAGGGCACCCTAAGGCCTTGAGGGGATACCAAATCCTGGAGCCCTCATTTCAATCCACGTTCTGGTCATAGGTCCAAAACACCAAATCTGAGTCACTGACCCTAAATGACGTCACAGCACCCAGGCCAGACTAGCAGCGTGAGGGAGACCCTGAAGGCCCAGGGAGTCAAGGACGGACCTGGGGGCCTCACTACCAAGGACAGCTCAGACTACCCCTTAACTGCATGTCCCAGAACTCAGCATGACCCCTCTGCCCCCTTCAATAAAGACGTTTCTATGGCTTCGCTGTGTCGGACCTGAGTCTGGGTATTACAGCCCTCCCCTGCACCGCTGCTGGGGGAGGACGAGAGAGGAAGTCCTTCCTTAAATCTCGCCTCCCCGCAGCCTGGGCACAGGACGATCTAGTCCGCGGAGAGTCCTAACAGTCCCATCTTCTTCCTGTGGTCGCCACGGCTGCCCCTCCCATCTGGGCCCACTCCAGCGTGGACAGGTTCGGTTCTGGAGCTGATTGGTCGGTGCCACAGGAAGCCGGGTAACCGAGGGTCCCCAGTGGCTCAGAGGCCGGGAGGCGCAGCCTATCGCTGGACGAGGGTGAGGGGGCGGGACAATATTGGGTGAGAGCGCCAATTGGGCGGAAGGCGGACCCTTCAGGCCTGTGAGAGTTCCCATTGGTCTCAGGACTCCTGCGTCGGAAACGAGGGGGAGGAAATGGCTGGGAAAGGAAAAGGGGTGTTGAATTTGGATATTGGTGGGGACATTGGTGGACGGTCAGTTTTGTGGGTGGCGGAGGGCGGGAATAGGGGTCTGAGGGTGGGGGTCCGAGGAGCGCAGAATGTGGAGTGTGTGTGTGTTAAGGGGGAGGGGAGTGGGCGGCTCTCATATTCAGGGAAGAAAGGTTTGAGAGGAGTCAGGCGCAGGGCTTTAGGTCCAAGAACGCTGCAGTGAAGGGGTGCGCGGGAAGGGAAATCTGAGGGAGTCCAGAGTGAGGGGATCTAAGGAGACAGAATGGATGCGTCAGAGGAGATTCAGTTTGGGGGTACAGGGTGTTCAGAATGTGGCATCTAAAAGGGCTTGAGCAGGAGGAGCCCATAGGGACTCCATCCTGAATGTTGTTGGAGAGCGAGGCTCAGGGTTGCAATCTGGTTGTTAGGAAGGGGTCTCAAGTTAAGATGTTTAAAGGGGTTCTGGGGGTGCAGCCCTAGAGGCTGTGAAGCTCTTGAGAAAAGCTCCCAGTGGGGTCAGAGGATGTTCTCTGTGAGAGGATGTTCTCTCATGAGAGAACAAAATATGTGTAGTTTGATAGGCTCGTGGTAGATGGAGTTTGGATGTTCTGGGTGCTTACTGTGTCCAGGCAAAGAGCCTGGGAGCTCACTGGGTGGCTTTGAGAGGCTGAGGACTCAGGTTTTAGAAATTCAGTGAGTTTGGTTAGAGGGCTGAGGCCCTGACCCATGATAGAGCAGAAAGTGGGACCATAACCTGAGGGTAGGAGGCTTGGTGACCTTAGCATATTCTCTCCTCCTCACAGGATCGGGTGCATGGAGTTGGTGTCAGAGGATCAGGACTCCAGGGTCCCAGCCCTGGAACCATTCAGGGTGGAGCAGGTTGTCAGGACTGGGGGTGCAGAGGGTGAAGGTGGGAGGACTGAGGGTGGAAGATAAAGTGGTGATAAGCAGGCTGACTCCTGGTTTGTGAGCTGGGACTGCTCCCTCTAGGTTCATTCTTCCCCTATCTCACTCCCACTTTCTGTCCCCAAAATGGGCATTAGTCCCTCAACTTCAGGCCCTGGCCTGTCTGGGAACATCCTGAACCTTACTACAGAGGGAGGGGGCTGCTCATCATTGTTAGGGTCCCCGTATAGGTCAAAGGGTACCAGTTTCAGGGGGATCTCTCCATCCTAGGCACCACCTGTAATCTACTATGTCCCTGACTTCATCTCCAAGGAAGAGGAGGAGTATTTGCTTCGACAGGTGACCTCAGTGCCCTTCTGGTCTGTTTTTCCCATCTTTCCAGATCCTTCCCCAAATCGTAGTTTCTGCTTGAGAGCCCCTGAGGCTATAATGGAGATTCTGGCAGGAAGAAGAGTGCCACCCATCCCTCACTCTCAGGACCCACTGGGCCTGTCAGAAAGAGCTTTTCCCGGGAAGCTTAGGGGAAACCAAACTGATTCTTAGAAATGAAGTGATTATTATGGAGCTCAGATTTCCTGTGCTGAGATAGGCCAGTCCGACTTCCAAAACAAAGATGTTATTGAGATCAGATTCCTTGTGCTAGAATAGGCCGGTACACGCCCAGAGCCTCAGAAACGAGGAAGTTACAGAGCCCATATTCTCTGTTCTGAGATAGCCCACTCCTGCTATTTTAGAGAAAAGGAGATTATAAATATAGGCTGAGATAGCCCAGTTCAGGCCTTTGATGTTTGGGGAATGAAGAATTTTTAGTGCTGAGGAAGCCCAGGCCTCAGAATGTTACAGAGTATACTCTTTCCTCTGCTTAAATAGCTCAGCATAGACCCAGAGTCTTGGAAACAAGATTTCTCAACACAGACCACCTGTGCTGAGGTAATCCAGTCTGTGTTCTATTTAAGGTTTGGGGAATGAAAACTTTACAAAGATCAGTCCTTGCACTGGGACAATCCTTTGTAGCCCCAGAGCCTTAATAATAGAGCACACACACACCCACACACAAAAAATAATAGAGCACAGTTCTTCCTTGTGCTGTTCCAACTAGTCTTGTCTAGGTTGAGCCCCAGGAAAAAGTTAGCCACAGAACACAGACTTGTGATGAGATAGCTCATTCCAGCCCCCAAACCATAAAGGGAACAAGGAGATTACTGAGTGTAGACTTCTTGAAGATGGCTCATTCTAGAACTTTGGGATCTTGGCAGTGGAGACTTTTCAAAGTACTCTCTTTGCTATGCTGAGATAGCCTAGTGTAGTACATCCTCCTCCCCCCCTTCCCCTCCCCCCCCGCCCCCAAGGTAATAGAAATAAAGGTCCCAAAAGTTAGACTATTCTGAGATAGCCCAGGAAATTACAGGGTGCAGACTATTTACTGGGCTAAAAGAGCCCAGTGCAGGCCAGAGTTCTAAGTGGATTCAGACCGAAGTTGTGTAGCCCTGGTTCCTTTCCTCAATCCCAGTAGACATAGGTGGGCTTTGGGGCTAGCAGCAGCTGCCACAGGGGAAAGAGCAAACAGCAAAATCTTGGGAACACTATCTCAGGAAACCATTCCCACAGATACTGAGATAACCCTTTTCCACCCCAGGTAAAGACCTCTATGTTGGCCTGGGTGGGAGAATCAGAGCGGTCCTAATAAATGAGTGACCCCCTCCCCACCTCCTAGGTCTTCAATGCCCCAAAGCCAAAGTGGACTCAGCTCTCTGGGAGGAAGTTACAGAATTGGGGTAAGTGTTCCTGCCTGGGGGCATGGGTGATTTAAGGATGTGGGTTAGAGCAGGTGCTTCAGGTTGGTTAGTCTTAAGATATTAGGGGGCCCTTGAAGGTTCAAGGGGTCCCAAGGGCCAGGAGGATCAGAAGTGTCAGTAGAGGTTCTATGGGATTAGGAATTTCCTTATAAGTTGGTGCTTTCAAATGTTCCAGGAAACCTTTAAGGCATCAGGAAACCTTTGAAGGGTTGGGTGGTGATCTCCAAAGAATCAGGCATCCCTGAGAAGGTCAGCGTGCTACCAACCCTGGTGATATCATTAGTGAGGGCTTGAGGTGCGAGGGCTCCTTGGTTAGGTGCTCTCAGGACCCCATTGCCCTCTTCCAGGTGGGCTCCCACATCCCCGAGGGATGGTTCCTGAGCGGCTTCCTCTGTGGCTTCAGCGCTACGTGGACAAAGTGTCTGACCTCAATCTTTTTGGGGGTCTCCCAGCCAACCACGTCCTTGTGAACCAGTATCTGCCTGGGGAGGGCATCATGGTAACTATACATCCTCACCCCAACTCCCAGACCTCTGATCCATCATGGGGCAGGCCATTGCCACACACCCCACCAGGCATTCATCTCCCTGTCCCCACCTGGGAGGCCCCCTTGAACCCTAGAGGGTGCGGGGGGTGGACTCCTGCCCTGTCCAGCCCTGGTGCCCACTCCCCAGCCCCACAAGGATGGGCCACTGTACTACCCGACCGTCAGCACCATCAGCCTGGGCTCCCACACCATGCTGGATCTCTACGAGCCGTGGCAGCCAAAGGATGAGGACCCTACAGAGCAGGTGGGCCCTGGGACACTGCCCCAGTCACTTGTGGGCACTCTCACATCCCACATCCCCTAAGAAGCCCTAATCCCACCTGCCTGCAAGATACCCTTGATAACCTCCCAGATACCTTCCCTGTCCCTCATAGAATGCAACCATGTCTTCCCAGACACCTAACCCATCTGCTTGCAGGGTGCCCTAGAAAGCTTGATATCCACAGATACTCCCAGTACCCCTACCTGCTGATTGAAATGGCCAGACACCCTGAAGATCCCTTGGCCCACACGTTCAGAGTGCTCCAGTAGCCCAATGTCCACATACCCCATGCAGGGTTCCCCAATACTCCAGCAGACACTGATTTCCTCAGATACTCCAACACCATTCATTTGTGAGTGTCCTTGACATCCTTCCAGATATCCTAACTCTCTCTGCCTACAGTACAGAGCACCCCAACACTGACCTCCCACACCTTGGCACCTGGCTTGCTGCTCAAAGACTCCCTAGATGGCCTGACTGTCCTCTAGGGCTGCACATGACAGCAGCGTCCCTGACCTCTTTCTCTGAGTGATGCATTTCTGACACTACAGTGTTCACAGAAATCCCCCTGCACATCCTGACCCCAGCTGCTGCTTAGGTCGCTCTGTAGTATTGCATGCTCCTGATTACCCCGGACACCCTGCCAGTTGTGCCAGTTCCCTCAAAAATCCTGATGTCTGCAGATACACCCAGACTACACCAGATCATCTCTGCCTCATTCTGCTTCCCCATCCCGGCCCACCCCAACTCCTGACTTCTGTCAAGCTCTCAACCCAGTTCCCTGTGACCACTGATACCTTGGTCCTAGCCCCTTGGAGATCCCAACTGCAGCCTAGTTCCCCCCTCTCTGGAGGGACTGCTGACCCTACCCTCGCCCCGTTCCCTGTAACCCTGGCTCTGGGATCTGCTGATTTTCACTCCAAAATGAGGGGCACACTTGCCCCTCAGTCTTTGTCTCTGGGGACATGCTGACCCTCGCTCCCTGACTCAAAGTCTGCTAACTTCTTCTACCCTTCTACTTTTGGGGACCCACTGACCATTTATACTCCCCGCAGCCCCGGCCCCCACCCCGGCCGGCCACCTCGCTGTTGCTGGAACCCCGCAGCCTCCTGGTACTTCGTGGCACTGCCTATACGCGCCTCCTCCATGGCATCGCAGCGGCCTGTGTAGATCCACTCGACACCGCCTCTCTACCGCTCAACGCTGCCGCCTGCCCATCGGCACGGCCCGGAGCCCACCTGGTCCGTGGCACCCGTGTCTCGCTGACCATCCGCCGGGTGCCCCGCGTGCTGCGGGCTGGACTGCTCCTTAGCAAGTGACGCCTGGCCCCAGGACCTGCTGGGCTTCCCGGACTATCAAGTTTCGAACAGCTGCAACCCTGCAACCTTGAAACCCTGGGGAAGAGGCGGGTCCCCTGGGTTATTTTCCCAATAACTTTGTGGGAACCACAGAAAGGCTTCATTTCAAATAAACCAACAAAAATCATTATTTGGTTTTGGATTGGGATGGAGGGACAGATGCTTGTGTTCTTGAGAGGTGCTGAGTCTGGGACCCTAAATGGTATGGGTCCTGGGAGTCAGAAGAATGGCTCAGATGAGCCGGGCAGAATCCAGGACTCTTGAGGGGGCAGGATTATACCCCATTGGGTGGGTTGGGGTGAGCTTAGAAAGTTCAGTTACTTGTTTGCTAGGGAGTTAAAAGTTGTGCCACTGTCACCTGAGCTGGCATCAAGTTACCTGGGTCCAGGTTTCACTTGAAAGGAGGTAAAGCTGAGCCTGCTCCTGGGCCTCCATCCGCCTGGGGCCTGGGTGAGTCCTGTGGATGTCTGAGGGGACACCACTGACTTGGAAAAGGCTGGAGACCTTAAAGTTAGCTGATTTTGGGAGTCGGAACGAGTTAGTGTGTCCCTAGAGACAAAGACTGAGGGGTAAGTGTGCTCCTCACTTTGGAGTGAAAATCAGCAGGTCCCAGAGCCAGGGCTACAGGGAACGGGGTGAGGGTAGGGTCAGCAGTCTCTCCAGAGAGAGGAACTAGGCTGCAGCTGGGATCTCCAAGGGGCTGGGTCTGGGACCAAAGTATTCTCACTGACTCTATCCCTAGGCCCCCAACTATGGCCCTGCCCCCATCTCTGGACCCTGGACCCCACTCAGAGCCCCTCAATCATCCCCCTGGAGCCCCTAGGGAACTGGACATTGCTGAACCCACCGTCTGCCCTTCTGAAGAGGAAAGACTCAGGTAGGAGCTGGGGCTTTTGAAACTTGGGTCCTAAAGGGGTGACGGCAGTAGCAGGGGCACTTTGAGGGTAAGAGGTACTGTGGCTCTGATCACCTGGGGATGTGGGAAAGAAAGCTGGGGATGGGTAGGCTAGAGTGGATAATGGGCACCTAGGTTCACCCAAGGGTCTGCCAATGCCTCCTACCTCCCAGGCCAGAGCAAGCCCAGACGCTGGGGCAGGGCTCTTTGGATCCTTCTGAGCACTTGCAGGGTGGGCTGAAGAACACTGAGCCTACATCTGGTCACCCCAGATTGCCAACGCCTTCTTCCCATGAGGACTCCACTGGGGGCAAACACCGTGAGGTGAGCTGCGGTAACCCAGGCCCCTTGTGCCCCACCTCCTCTCTTTCCCCTAGAATCTAGCCTCCACATGGGGATGAATTGATGATTCTGGAAAAGTGTTGGGCACCTGTGGAGGGAGGGACACTCATAAATGATTCTTTGTCAATCATTATAGAAATATTTCAAACTGAGAGAGAATTATTTCATGATTGGCCCTAGTGCAACCTCATTCCTTGTAGGGGTATCCAGCTCCAGCACCCCCTCCCAGTAGATGCACTGCTGGTGTTCAGTGAGGGGCTGGCATAGCAGAGTGATCCTCAGACCTCCAGGTCCTGCATGTCCCAAGTTTCTAGGAGCTTTGAAAACCTTGAGACTTTGAACTAGAAGTCCCCAGGCCTTCCACTGGAAAGGACTCAAGGTGGGAGCAGCCCTGGTGCAGAGCCAGAGATGGACTCTGCTTCAGAGAAGCATCCAGAAAGGAGGAGTCGGCAAAAGAGGGGTGGCAATGAGAGTGGGGACAAGGTTTTGGTTGGCCCATTGGCACTGACTCGGCCCTTTGTGTTTCCCAGAGCCCTATCTCTGGCTGGGAGGTATTGGAGGCTGAGCAGGACCGCCTGCACCTTTGCCTATTGGGCCTGGGTCTTCGGCTGCAGGACCTAGAGCGAGGCCTGGGACCCTGGACATTGGCCCAGAATGGGATGGTCCAGCTGCAGGTGGGCAATGGGAGGCCAAGGTATGGGAAGGTGGGCAGGGGCTCAGGAGGAGTACCAGCTCCCTTGGGTGAAAGATGGGTTTACTCCATGTTCTAGGTATCTGGGTAGGAAGGGGCCATGTAATTCCAGGTCCCAGGTTTCTGGTCCCCCTGGTGTATATGGGGATGGTGGTGGTGTCCAACCATGTGTTCCCAGGCCCTACAGGCAGACCTACGTGGGACAGCTGAGCGTGTAGATGCACTGCTGGTGTTCAGTGAGGGGCTGGCACAGCGGAGTGAGCCTCAGGCCTGGGCATCCCTGCAGCAGGTCCTGAGGGCCCTTGGAGCCCACCTAGACAGCATCTTCTGGCGGTTGTGGCGGCTGCAGGCCCAGCTGGTCAGCTACAGCCTGGTATGGACCAACCTGGTGATCCCCAGTCCTGGTGCCAATTTCACAACCCCCATGACCTCTGTCCTCTGACCAGGTATTCAAGGAGGCCAACACACTGGACCAGGATTTGGAGATTGAGGAGGATTCAGACTGTCCAGGACCTGGTGGGATCTGGGGGCCCTGGGAACCCAGTAGCCTCCCCACTCCTGCAGAGTTAGAGTGGGATCCAGCAGGGGACATTGGGGGCTTCGGGCCCTTGGGACAAAAGACAGCCTGGACACCAGGGGCTCCCTGTGAGCTGTGTGGCCACAGGGGCCCTCAAAGCAGGGGACAAGGCCTTGAGGTGAGGGCAGGTGGGGGACATCCCCACCCGGGCACCCACAGGACACCTCTGTGCACCTCCTAGCAGGGTCCTTCCCTTCCAAGGCGATCTTGGCGGCTCTGTCTCTCCCTCTGCCTCTCTCTGTATCTTTCTCTCTTGGCGTGTCAGTGCTTTTCTCCCTCCCTCCCTCCCTCTGTCTCTTGGTTTCTGTATCTTCCTCTGTCTTATTCTTTCTGTTTTTCTTTCTCATCCATCTATATGTACATTTCCTCGTTTCCTCTCACTCTCCCCCTTGCTCAATCCGCTACAGCCACATTAGCTTCTTGGCTCTTCTTTAAACATTCCAAATTCACTCCCATCTCAAAGCCCCAAGATGCATGCCCAGCTTGCCTCCTACCTTCATTCCAGTCTCCCCTCAAGTGTCTCCTCTTCAGAGAGGCCTGCTCTGGCCTCCAAATATTATCCTTATCCTCTTACTTTATTTTCTAATGGCACTTACCACATCTTGACATTATACAGACTTTGCCTGTTTCCATTGCCACTGTGTCCCCAGCTCCTTGAACACTGCCTGGCATGTAATAGACACTCATTAAATATTAGTTGAGTGAATGAATGAATAATGTTTCTCCTCTCAGGTTCTTTGGCTCTGCCCTGCTCTTTGTGTCTTCCCAAGATCCTTCTCTTCCCCCAGCATCACATCTCTGTGACACCCTCTATCTTGGCCCTTCCCCAATCTTGTGTTTCTTTGTCACTGGTTGTCCCAGGACCTCACAACTCTGTCTCTCCACAGGACATATTCATGTTGGGTCTCAGCCACCGGAAACACTTAGTAGGTCACCAAAGACGCTCCCTGCTCCAGAAGTCTCAGGTCAGCTGGTCCTCAGTTAGGTATATCAATTTGGGCAAGTGACCCAAATTGAATTACACAAAAGAGGGGATGCAATTTTTTCATATTCCTGAAAAGTCCAGGTACTGTTGAATTCAGGACCTCTAATGCTATCAGGGCTCAGACCCTTGCTCTTGAGATTCTACTTCCCCAAGGCGGATTCCTTCTCAGCAAAATGGCTGCCCTGGTAGCTACATACTTTCTTCTGGTTACCCACCCAAAAGGAGAATGCCGCTGACTTACTAGCAGCCACGTCCCAGGGCTGATTCCACTCCCCATGGGTCCTGAACCAATCACAGTGGCCAACCTGATGGAAGGCTCTGATAGGCCATATCTGGGTCATATGACTAATCATGGAAGTGGAGGTGTACTGTTAGGAAAGTGGGGAAGTCTGACACTCCCTGCATACCAAATTGAGCCCCTGTTACCAGGAAAGGGGAATTGGTTGGAGGACAGCCACAGAAAGACATCCACTATACTTAGAGATATTCCAAGCCCATGAGGGGCCCAGAGGAGGAAGGGGGTACAAGGAATGGAGGAGAAATAAGCTCAGCCCTGTAGGTCTATGATAATAAGGGAAGTCCACATTAAGTGTCCCTTCCATGTATTCTGCTTCTGGTTACTATCTACCCTTAGGACAAGAAGAGTCATGCATCTTCCAATCTCCAGGATGTGATGCTGGAGGTAGATTCTGGGTGAGATGCCTGGGAGATGGGTCTGGGGGTGTAGGGAGACAGGGCTCATGATGGCAGCCCACTGTATATTTAACACTGCGTTTTCCTTTACAGAGCTCCCACTCCTGTATCCAAGTGGCCCTTGACCTTATTCCTTCTTCTCTTCCTTCTCTTGGTGGGTTTCACATTGCTCCTGCCCCAGTCAGGGAGCCCCTGCTGTTCTCCTGCCCGACTGGCCAGGACACCTTACTTGGTGCTCAACTATGTCAATGGTCCCCCCCCAATCTGAGTACACAGTCCAGACATATATAATAAATGATCATTTGTCAAAGGATGTGTTTTAGTCCATTTGGGCTGCTGTAACAAAATAACAGACTGCATGGCTTATAAACAATAGAAATTTATTTCTCACAGTTCTGTAGGCTGAAAAGTCCAAGATCAAGGCATTGACAGATTCAGTATCTGGTGAGGACCTACTTCCTGGTTCATAGATGGCTATCTTCTTGCTGTGTCCCCACATGGCAGAAGGAGCAGGGAGCTCTTGGGTTTCCAGAGATTAAGGGCAATAATCATTTCCATGAGGGCTGTATCCTCAGACCTAATCTCCTCCCAAAGGCCTCACCTCCTAACCATCACATAATGGGTTAGGATTTCAACATACATATTTTAAAGGGATACAGACATCAGTCTATTGCAGAATGTGTAGATATTGGGTGCTTGAGTACTCAGAATCTAGGATACAGCCCTGATATATCTGGACAGCCCTCTCCACAGATTTCTTTGCCTTGAGCACAGAATGCAGAACTGAATCAGCCCATTAGATCCTGAGACAAAGATGCAAGCACAGGTAGTTTTTTTAGGAGGTGATCCTAGGCATTTTGGTAGGGGTCTGAGGAAGTGAGCCAGGGAAGGGAGTGCTGAGCTGGTTGCTGCTTTGGGAACTGGGTGCCATCTCACTAGTGACCTGTAGGAGACTGTGTAGAACACATTCAAAGTTATTCTACCCAAGAGTCAAAGAAATTGGCATTTATGTAAACAGCTCCCATCTCTCATTGCTTCCTGAAGTTGTCAACTCCCCAGAACTTCCAGCTTCTCCTGTCTTTAAAGAACCCTCAGGCAGAGAAGCACAGGTGCTTTCCATGGAAGCTAGAAGTATGTACAGAAAAGGTGCAGGTGGTATAAGCAGGCTGCACCTGCTATAGCCTCTGACCTGCATCTATACATGTGTTCGGTTCAAACATTCTACATTGTGGGCTCCCAGACTGGGCCATCACTGGTGCAGGTGTGAAACTTCTTCCATGAGTCATGATGACAACGAAGTGGAGTTTCCAGGGCTCAGTCCTGGAGTCCAGTACCCAGCGCCAGGTGTCTAAGATCATCTACTTCCCAGAGCTTAAAGAGTTGGGACAAGAGGTGGAACAGAATCAGACTCAAGAACAGAGCCTTGTGCTAGGCCCCTGGATGTGCATTTAGATCTCTTCTTTAATCCTCACAGCCACCAAATGATATGTCCCCAGTTAACAGAACGGGAAACAGCCTCTAGTGGGGAAGTCACTGAGGACACACAGGGAGCAAGTGACTGAAGCCTAGTCACCACTGATTTAAACAGAAATGGGAATTTATTTTTGTGGGTAACTGAAAAGTTAGGGACTGAAAAAACAGCTGGGTCCGGGGGCTCAAATGGTAGCTCCATTTCTCAATTCCTTCCTCTGATTTGACTTCATTATTATCTCGTGGTGGCCAGAGTATCCCTTAAAACCTCCAAGCATTCATCCCACCAATTTGGTAGCCAATAGGAGAGTCATTCTTCCCTTACAGTTCCAAAGTCCCAAGGCTGGCTCCTTTGGCTAGTCACCTGCTTTCCTGTGGGCTGCAGTCAGCCCTGCCTGAAATGTGTACTGAAACAGAGGAAGGAGTGGATCTCCAAAGAAAATGAAGCGCTTACCTGAAGGGGGGATGGATACTGGAGGAGGATAGGGAAGCAGCAGATTCTGGGAGACCCCAGGTTCAGGGGTAAGTCAGGATGCAAGTCTGGGTCTGCCCTGTTTCAAATGCCAGGCCAAGTCTCTGTACCCAACCAAGGAGGAGGCAGTCTCCCTGGAGCCACCATAAATGGGGTGGGCAGAGTTTTGGCAATATTGACCCTACTGATCGGGTAATGGAGCAAATGTGTCATTCATCCATTCGTTCATTTAATATTGACTGTCTTCAGTAAGCCAGGTCCTGTTCAAAGAATAGGGCAATGACAGTGAATTCAAAGGCTAAAATTCTTGACCTTGGTGGGGCTGATTTCTACAGGGGAGATTAATGGTAAATAAAAGCAATAGGTGAAATATGTAATATGTCAGATGGTGATAAGTGCTAAGAAGAAAAACTAAAGTGGGCAAAGGGAAAGGAGGTACAATTTTGGGTTGTTGAGGGAGGTAGCAGGGAGATAATTACGGCATTATAGCAAACTATAGTGAGGAAACAAGCCACATGGACTCCTAGAGTAGTGCTGTCTAATCCTATATCAGTGATAGCGAACCTTTTGAGCTCGGCGTGTCAGCATTGTGAAAAACCCTAACTTAACTCTGGTGCTGTGTCACATAATGAAATTTTTTGATATTTGCAACCATAGTAAAACAAAGATTTATATTTTTGATATTTATTTTATATATTTAAATGCCATTTAACAAAGAAAAATCAACCAAAAAAATGAGTTTGCGTGTCACCTCTGACACACGTGTCATAGGTTCGCCATTACTGTCCTATATAATAAAAGGCAAATATGCAAATAGACTGAATGTAGAACAACTGAACCGATTGCTATGATGTACACTGACCACCAGGGGGTGCATGAAACATGGTGGGCGTGGGCAGCAGGTGGCAGAGCGCAGAACATGGCGGGTGTTGGCTGTGGCGGGATGGTGGAGCAGGTGAGCAGGAGCACCAGACCAAGGTGGGGCACCGGTCACTGTCATCGGGGTGAGCCTCTGGTGGTTACTGAAAATTCTTTGCTCCCATGTGCCACGGTCCCGCCCGGTGCTCCCACCTGCTGCCAGTGCTGGTCCTGCTCACACCGCTGCCAGCACCGGAGCCTCCGTTTGCACCCATTGCCAGGACCAGCCCCGCTCACACCCACAGTGTCATCTGTCCTGATTGCTCAGCACCATCAGCCAGTGTGAGCAGCGGGTGCGAGCAGCGGCTGCCAGCCCCAATTGCTCCTGAGGACTTCTCCACCTTCCCCTGCTCCTGAGCGGTGATTAGGGCCAGCAGCTGCTGCTCGCACTTGCTGATGGCGCTGGTCCCAATTGCTCTGCGCTGTCAGCGTGTGGGAGCTGCAGCAGCCAGAGGGGGGCTGCTGGCAGACAGGGGACCAGGGATGGGCCAGGCGGGAGAGGCCAGGCAGGGGGTGCAGAGGATGGGCTGAGACCCAGCCCTCTGCCCACCAGTCTCGTGGCCCACAGTTCCTTTCAAGATGCACAAATGGGTGCACTGGGCCCCTAGTATATAATAAAAGGCTATTATGCAAATCCACCAAACAGCAGAATGACTGGCCGCTATGATGTGTACTGACCACCAGGGGGCAGATGCTCAATGCAGGAGCTGCCCACTGGTCATCAGTGTGCTCCCACACTGAGCCGTGCTCACGGCTGGTGAGCACAGGGGCAGTGGTGGGAGCCTCTCCCACCTGCGCAGCAATGCTAAGGATGTCTGACTGCTGGCTAAGACTGCTCCATGGGAGCCGGCCTAAGTCATCAGTTGGATATCCCCTGAGGGCTCCTGGACTGCGCCCTCCCCTCCCCCAAGTGCATGAATTTCATGCATGGGGGGCCTCTAGTAGAAATATAAAGTGAGGCATAAAAAATAATTTAAAATTTTCTAGTAGTCACTGTTAAATAATAGAAACAGCTGAAAATTAACTTTAATAATTTATACTTTAACCCAATATATACAAAACATCAATGTGTAATGAATATAAAAATACATGAGGATTTATAATCCATTTTTCTTACTATCTTTGAAATCTGGTGTGTATTTCACTCTTTATATAGCACATCTCAATTCAGACACTTAATTTCCAACAGATTAAATAAAATGTAGTCCTACCCAAAGAGGATGTATTTAATGGAATATTTTACATGGCTTCTCTTTTAAATTTTTATTACTTAAAATTTATTTTAAAAAAATTAAAAATTCCTCAATCACAAGTATCTCTCAGCTACCATCCTGGACAGTGCAAACCTAGAGGAAATGCATTCCAGGTAAAGGAAACAGTAAGTGCAAAGGCCCACAGGTAGGAGTGTGCTTGGCACATGGCAAGGCTAGTGTGGCTGAAGTGTGAGTGCTGGAGGGGGAGAGTGGGAGGAGTTGAGGTAAGAGAGAGGTTATGGGGCCAGATCAGGTGAAGCCTTGTGGACCACAGTGAGGACTTCCAGTCTGAGTGAGATGGGCGTCATAGGAGTTTGTTTTGTTTTTTTCAACTTTCATTCTGGTACTTTTTGAACTTGTACAAAAAAATAAGGAACAGCATTACAGGTCCTTGTGGACTCTTCACCAGCTGTAATCATTACCAACTCAGGGCCAATCCCTTTAATCCTCCCAGGTGCCCACTCCCCTTTCCTAAATTCTTCTGAAGCTTTACCAACAATTCAGGAAGCGTCTCCAGATCAGGATTCTGTTTTAAAATTTAGTCACAATTCTTTTATTACCATAAAGAAAATTCTAGTCATTCCTTCACATCATTAACACTGGATATTGCTGTTTGAGGGTATTGAGCAGGAGTGGTAGGAACTGTCTTCTTTAGGGACTGTGAGTTTCCCAGAATTCCCAAAGGCCCCACTGGACCACCTCATGCATCTGGCTTGGACCCTTGGGACAGCTGAGTTTGTGACCTAAGACAAGAACATATTCTAGTAACCTGTCATTCCCAATAGGATGAAAATCAGAATCTGCCAGGGAAACCAGACGTTATTTTTTCAAAGGTCAAAAATACATAACTTTAATTTATTACTTATTTATTGTTAATCCTCACCCAAGGATATTTTTTCATTTATTTTTAGAGAGAGTGGAAGGAGGGAGGGAAGGGGGAGAGAACATCAATGTGAGAGAGACACATCGATTGCTTGCCTCCCACACCTGCCCCAACAACAGGGGCCAGAGATAAACCTGCAACCCAGGTACATGCCCTTGACTGGGAATCAAACCATGACCTTTCAGTGCCCAGGCTGATGCTCTAACCACTAAGAACACCAGCCAGGGCTATTTAAACTAGTACAACAAACTCCCATATATCCTTTACCCAGATTCACCAATTGTTAACATTTTGCCCCATGTACTTCACTATCCACCCTCTCACTAACATGTTTACATATGTGCATATATAGGGTGTCCCC